CACTCATCGGTGATGTCATGCTTCATGCATTCCCTCGATTTGATCTGAACTTAGAAAAATGGATGTGTTTTGTTTCCATTCTAGCATCTGACTTGTAGAATTCATATGCATGACATGTGCATATATATGTATTTTCTTCCGTAAGCAGTTACCATGATGTACTTCTACATTTGTTCTTTCTAGCGTCTATCTTGTAATCCTGATGGTGACAAGTTGCACCATAATTTTGACCGTGATGAATCCATTTCTTCATCCTTAAGACACCTTTCCAATTCACAGCATTTGGTATGGAACGTTAAGAATAAAAGTTGCATTTTGCATGTACCATTTAAACAACATTGGAAATATCACAAGTTGTGATCTCTAATTTTGATCTAGTGATGAGTATTCCTGAAAGCATTTTTCTTTCTGTATGAAGTATATTCAATTATGAAATTAATCATGGCAGTTTTTGGCTTTGTGCTATATTGCAGAGTAATTCACCTCTCATCTCTGTGAAGCCTTTGCAACCTCATGATACAGTGCACCCAGACAATGAGGATTATTGCTCAGTTGCTTCTTCGTATCCTTTTTCTACTTTTATATCTTATCATATCTGCCTTTAGACAGTTTTGTGTTAGTTTTTCTTGAACCATTTCATAGTACTGCAGCATCTGTAAGAACTTTAAAGGGCAAGACAACTGTGGCAGCTGCCCCTACTTTTAGATGCAGTGAGCGTGCAGCAAAGCGGAAGGAGGTACCATCACTATCTGTGTAATGCAATTAATTTGTTATCAACTTAAACCCACAGAGTTTTAATCTCCTTTATCCTCTTACTTCAGTTTTACTCCAAGTTAGAACAGAAACACCAGGCTATGGAAGCAGAGAAAACACAATCTGAAGCTAGGACGAGGGTATATGCTTTCTTGCTTCAACTATGTTTCTCGGTATCGGTGCATGAAAAATTAAGCTCTGTGCTATCTTACATCCATCTTGGAATTTCTTTATTAATGCGAGTGCTGCCTGCATGACGTTTATTGTGTAGGCACTATGCAGAATCCATAAAAAGTTAGATACTAAATAATGAGTTCTAGATACTGCAACAATGTATTATTAGGAATCATTCTACAATGTTCTTGCTGAGGATGCCCAGCATGTTCTGTAGATCTTAATTTTTTCCAATAAAAAGGCTTATTTATTATGCTTGTCTTTTTCTGCAATTTAATATGTTCTCCTTTTGTTTTATCTCCCTATTTGGATTGACTGTGTACTGGTCTTTTAATCGATCCAAAATATGCTCAAGTATATTGCTATGTCTCATTAGTCTTTGGAGCAACATACACATACTTTTCACTTATTTTTGTCTGTTGGAGCGCTACTGCTTTTTCACACATTTCTATCAAACAAAGGTCACATTTAGAGCCTTCCTGCTATATATGTGTAATAATTATCCACCATCATTTTTATGGTTGGGCAGTTGCTTATGAGACATTAAATATATGAATTCATGTCTTGCAAACTGATAAATTATCTTGCTTTATTTTCTTTACCAGTGAAATGAGAAATCTGATGTAATACTTGCATAAACATACTAATTGACCACTTGAACAAATTCCTAAGAGATATATGAAACTTATTGAATGCTTTCTGTGACACACCAATATCTTGATCGCTGATAATGCACAACTTGTTTCCTTTCATACTAACTGTACAAATGAGTAGGTCCCAACCATTTGGTGTTCCCTTGAAATGATTTTTTCTATTTACTGACAGTTTGATATTTCTGATATAACACACATAAGTCTGCTAGTTGATCACTTTAGCAAATAAAATTTGTTAAATACTTGTTGTAAAGAACTAATATCTGTATCTCTAATATAGCTTTTTATTAAGCTCCAATCAACTATACAAATCATTTCTTTGACCTCTCCTTTCTTGACTGGAAAAAATAAAATCTATTTTTTTTCTTGATTACAAATATGTACCATACGTTTCATACTTCAAGTAGGACATCAATATGTTTTCTTTACCAAACTATTATTTTTATAGCATTCTTTACAGTGGATTACATGTTTGCCACTTATGTGGTTACTTTGTTTTTTCAAGATCTTAGTTTTCCTAGCTGATATCTTTTAGTCTTATACTTATGGTTGATATGGTAACTTAAATCTCAAATCCCTACAAGCTACACATGGTAGATCTTTGTGTCTATTTACAACGACTTTTTTGTTTCAATTAGTTCAATGGAGAGGTAGAGCTTCATGTCACAGTAAAGTTTCTTTATGATCTAGGTCACTAAGGTTTAAATAAAATAGTTTCTCTGCTTGTATATATATTGACCTTCCCTAGACTTTGTGTAGCCTTGTGCACCGGGCCACCCTCGTACAATATGTCTAAAAATGAAATCTCTTTGTAAATCCATGACCAGGAAATTTGTCTTGGTGATTGTTTTCTTCTTTTTGACAATCAAGAAAAGATTGATTGTCGTAAATGAAGAATATATAGTTCACCTAGAGGGGAGAAAAAAAATAAACATGCAAGTATACTCATAGATGAAATGCGATTGCAACATTGAGGAAAAAGTCAATGAATTTTTAAATGAAGAAGATGCTGACAATGTGTTATTTTGGATCAATTGGATAATAGGGTAAGTTGACTGTAGTGACAAGGACTCGGTAGGTCAGAAAAAAGGAAATGATGAAGTTGATCACTTTTAAAGATTCGGGAAAGCATATTAAAAGTCTTAAACAGAGAGGTTGAATCCAAATACAAGATCCCGATTGATCAGAATCCACAGGTGCTTTTAACATGTGCTTTCTGCACGCATCAGTTACTTTGATCTAGAATGGACATTGTTCTTTCTGCTTCTATCAAACAAAAAAAGAGAAGTGTACAAGTACCTCCTTTCTTGCTTCATTTTTTATGCATGAAATGATTACCATTAAGTTTTATATTTTATTATGTTATCCAGGAAGAGAAAGAGGCAGCTCTGAAGGAATTGAGGAAGAGTTTAGTTTTCAAAGCAAATCCAATGCCTAGCTTCTACCATGAGGGTCCTCCTCCCAAGGTTGAACTAAAGAAGGTATGATCCTAAGATTTCACTTAGAGCTCATGTTTCTCAATTATTCAAGTAAATCAGAAATTATAAAAGCACAGAAAGTTCTAAATTCTAGCTCCTCAACATAGAATTTTTCATGCTAGTAGCAGGAATCCAGCATTTATCATTGCAATGTTTATCAGCTTGGGTTACCCTCATTATTTATAAACTATATAATTTTAATCGGACAGAAGAACTGAAGCACCAACTTGCATAAATTTGTAAATGGTGCATTATATCAGGATCGTGTTGCTCAATTTTTTTGTCTCTTCGAGCTAGTTCTTGTTAGTGTGATTTTGATATGATTAATATAACAGGCATAAATATGTTTTGAGTGGATATTTCCTCGAGACTAAACTTTAGGGAAAAATGCAAATTTTTTATTTCATGTTACAAGAATTAGATCTTCTACACGAAGTTCCTAGCAAAACAAATATTTTAGTAGTTATTCCTTTAGTATATATCTCACACATCTTTCAGAGATTCTTACTCTGGTTTTATTAAATTGCATGTAAGTAATCTTCTAATACAATTGTGATTACAAGGAAAGGACCACACACAAAAAAGCAGGTTCAGACTTCGCAAAAGTTGGCGGTTGAATTTGGTGATTACGCCGCATTATATAAACTTCATAGTTCTCTTTCAATGAAATAATGAGTTAGAAAGCATCAGTAGTAAACATTCTCTCTCTTGTTTTTCCAAAGAACGCATAAATTTATATTGCTTCAAAAAATGGGTACAACCGTTGCCTGTAGCATCAGAGAATCAAAACAAAGTTAAATATTCCCTTCATCTTGAATCACATATGAAGCACTTTCTTCCTGCTGGTTCATGGCTTAGTCTCTGTGGCTTGAATGCTCTCCCAGTATTGTTTACAAGTAATGCTCTTCTGGAACTAACTATACTTATGGCATAGCTAAGTCAGGGCATTTTCTTTGTTCAAAAGGTACCTCCGACGCGTGCTATATCACCCAAGTTCACTCGAAGAAAGAGCTACAGTGATGCCAGTCCAGCTGGAGAAAACTGCAATGGACTATGCGGTCGATTTCATCGTCATAGTCTGGGCACTAGCACGGAAGCCACCACCATAAGGTTGCAGAACAGCCATAAGAATGTGAAAGGCAAACAAAGTCTCAAATCCGATAGAGAGAGTTCTAAAACCCTTTGTGTCAAGGTTACAGATCAGACAAGAACTGGTGTCACCTTACAGACATGAAGTGTGCTTTTACACGCATAAAAGCTTTAAGCTTAACTTGTATCTTACATCAAACAATTTCCATCATCCTCCATGTCAACATGTATGATGCTGTAAAATTTGTAAGTTATATGTGATGCATGTAACAACCTGAAACTTGATTGGAACTGACTTATCTTGTTCACTTGGTGATAATTTATGTGAAAACCATGAATTGTAAGCAAAACATTTCTTGAGGATTGAGTTTGTAGAAACTATTGTGGATCTCTCAGTGATACCACCCATTGCATTGGCAGCATTTAAGCCTTCTCTGCCTTCATAGGTTTCTTGACTTAGTAGGTGTCACCTACAGAACCTTATTTTGGAGGCCTTTTATCACTTGTTAATTGATGTGCACTAATGAGCATGCCATAACTACCTATATATATATATATATACTCCAAAACTCAAAGGAATATTATATTACCAGTAGCATAAACTCTAATTGTCATTGATAACTCCTTATAAAGGATGAATAATGATATTTGAAGTACTTAAAAGCTTTAGATATATTTTCTATCTCAAATTAGTTATTGGTATTCATAATTAATAATATTGGATGGATATTAGTAATTAGAGGGATATATATATATATATATATATATATATAGGGGTGAGTATGTTATTCAGGAACTTAGAAGGGTATATATGTAAAACTTTCATGGTTTTACACTCGCTTCTCGGTCTCTCGAAAGCAATCTGGTCTTCTTCACGCGCTGCGGCATATGACTTCGACTGCATTATTGAGCTCCTCGCTCGTCCTCCAACCCATTAAGCCCTGCAAGCCCTTCCTCCCCCGAAACCCTAGGATCCCACGGCCGCGCTTTCCGCTCTGCTCCGCGGAGCCGAAGCACCTCACGAAAGGCGGAGGCGGAGGAAGGAGGAGCCCTGTGGACGGCGGGCGGCGGAGTCCAAGAAGGGGCCCGCATGGGACCTCTCGAAGGTCCGCCATCAAGAAGAGCTTCGCCCAGGAGCAGGTCGTGTTCACCACGCCGGTGGCGAGGGACCCCGCTGTGGCGATCATCGGCGGCGGGGTCGCTGGTTTGGTATGCGCTCTCACGCTTGAGGAGAGAGGCATACGGTCGACGGTCTTCGATACGGTTAGGCGCTACCTCATTTTGATTTCATAGATTTTGATTTTCTGTCTTTATACGGCAAGAAATTGGAATTTGATTGGTTTAGAGGAATCTAGTTGTGGATATAGTTGATTTAGGTAGGGTGAGTATTCCACGTAATTGGAGTGGTTTGACGTCACTGACCTAACAACTTGAGCATTTAAGCCTTTTCATGCATATAAGATGTTGTTTAGCTAGAGGATGTGAAACACATTCCTTCATGTTGTCCTATATCATGAAAATGATATCTATATAAATTACTTTTAAGGTGGTTCCATTAATCTAGGTCACTACTCGGACTGTTAGAAATCCCTTATCTTTAAGTGCATTTCCTGTTCTTCACAGAAGATTTTTTGTATATTGCATTTATGGAAATTGAGGGCATTTCCTGTTCCAAAAATACACATCACCATTGGAAGGTTTGTGCATGATTTCTGGAAATGTCTACGTTGCAGCATCCAGGTGAGAGTTATCAAGTGCTTCAATATTGCCTAATCTGCAACTCCTAGAGAGATGTTAGCTTTTCCCCTCAACATTTCCAGGGCCCCTGGAATCCCATAAAGACTCTTTTTCAACATTTTCTGGGCTTAACAATTGAATCAATCATGTCAATGTGTTTGTTCTAAGCCATGTTGGTGTTTGATCCTGAACTAAGATCTATACCCTTTTTGTGGCTGATATTGTCCTTCATATGGTTAAATTGTAGGTTAAGATGCTCAACTCAAATTGCAATGCTGGAATATTTAGAATTGATTGGTCATTCCATGACATATATCATGAAAGCTTTGTGCTTGATGGGATCGAAAATTGTCATGGATGGTGATATTTTCAAATGTTCATTAATTTTAAAATTTTGAGAAATTATTAAGACAATGGGAAATGTGAATCAGATAAAATTTAGATGAACGGATAATTATAAAGTATCATCTCTAATTACTGAAAATAAATAGACTTGTTTATTCAGAACAGCATACTATGCACCATTTTATGCTCACTTGATGAAGCAAACATCATGATTTTGGAAGAAAGATGTGGGATGGAATCCTAGGAAAGCTGAACCTCTTGGTGAGTTTTTTTTCTTCTAGAACTTCTAATTCTAATTAGAATTAACTTATAGGCTGGTTGGTATTCTGAAGGAAATCCATGTTTTGCATCAACTTGTATGTTGTTTGGTCTATTGTGTTCTGTATCTGCATTGGGGATACTATAATACCATGTTATCACTGTCTTGACTATAAGTGACATTGTAGTTATCTTATAATAAATATAATATGTTGATTTTTCTGGTCCTATATTAGGGGATGCATGGCTTAGGTGGGAGGATGGCAACGCGGATCATTGATTCCAGGACATGCATATTTGATCATGCTGCTCAGTTCTTTACTGTAAGTGATTTAAGATTTCAGAAGCTTGTTGATAGATGGTTGGAGAAAGGCTTGGTTCGGGAATGGAAGGGACTGTTAGTAGAACTTGAAGCTGGTGGGCATGCTTCTCCTGTACCGTATTCTGCTTCAAGATATGTAGGCATGAAAGGAATGCGTTCTCTGATGGATTCAATTATAAGTCAGGTCAAAGTTAAATTCTCTCTTTTATGTTTGAATGATTTTCCTCAGTAATTTTAAGAGGATCAGTGAATAATGAGTTTGAATTATGAAAATTCCCTTTCTGCTTGTTTTGTTCATTTGACTTCCAAATTCCATAATTGAATCAGAAATCAGCTTTGAACTCTGCTTTAGTTGCAAAATGTTATCCTAGTTTCATGCAACAGAATGAAAGAACCATATATCTGGAAAATATTACATTAGTCATTTAGATGAATATTTGTATAAGTTTTCTACTTCTGCACTTGTGACCTTCAGAAACAATTGGCACAACAGATGCTTTCTATTATGAAATTAAGAGTGAACCTATGGACACCAACCATTATCCATATTTTGAAAAGCCAAGCATGCATTTCCTTCTAATTTTATGGTAGTTTATTATCTTGTTGACCAAGCATAGCTTTCAATTCCAAGATTATAAATATCAAAGATAAAATTATGGTGTCTCTAGTCCAAGTGCTGGGAATGCTGTTGGGTTAAATTGTGGCTAGAAGTTTGAAGTTCATCTGCATAAACACTGTCTTTCTCTATGTTGGTATGCCTTCAAGCTCTGTGCTAAGTAGCATTTTAACTGCAACTGCAGAGTCGCATGGCTAATATTGTAAGGCCTTGTTGGATAAGTAAGCTTGAGCCATTTAATGGGACATGGCGATTGGCTGAGCGAGAGAAACCCCATGGCCAGTTTGATGCAGTTGTTATCGCACATAATGGTAATTATATTACCTCTATATCACTTCTAGGTGTTTTAGGTGAATGAAGTTATTAATTTTTATAATTTCTCTGTAAAAATTATTTCTTGTCCTTCATGAAGTTATTTAATGTCCAATATTCTGCACATGAAAACCATGAGAAGTGGCTCATAATTGATCCATGTTCCATTTGTTTCTCTTCTTGAGGTCTAAGCTTAACTAGGAGATGCTTGGGAAAAGCATAGTGCTTCAAGGATATTAATATGAGTTATTATTGTTCTGACTGTTCTTCATTTATTCATTATTGCTAGGAGATGCTTGGGAAATGCATAGTGCTACAAGGATATTAATATGCTTGGGCTAAGCCTCACATTGCATATTCATTTATTTTTCTGCTTGTAACTTCTTGAGAGCTGAACACAACTTCCCTTTGTTTTGTCATTCAACCTTTTTCCTGTTCTCAGTTCCCTTCTTTGGCTTCCAAGACGATGTCTTTTAAGCAACTTCAACTATACATCCATCTACTTCTTGTTACAACTCTTACCCCTCTTCCAGAAAGGAATTGCGACACTGGAAACAGAAAATAGATTATTTAACTGAGATCCACTAAATATAAATAATATATTGTAGATATCATCGATAAATTTGGGCATGGTTATCCTTTCTTTTTTCCACTTATGCATTCTTGTTAAAAGTAGGCAGTTATTCAATTTATTTATGATTTTAATTATTTTATGCTGCATCAACAGGAAAATGTGCAAATCGTTTGCTTTCATCCTCAGGCTTACCACAACTAACTAAACAGATGAAGGTTGCTGCTGCACCTCCCCAGATGAATCTTGTCAAATACTGTAGGAATAGTACTTTATAGTCTTGGAAAATTATAAAATTCAAGTTGCTGTGCTCATGCATATTTTGGTGTTTGCAGACTCTAGAACTTAGTTCTATCTGGGCGCTTCTTGCAGCATTTGAAGATCCTCTTCCAATTTCTCAGAATAGAGATTTTGAAGGAGCTTTTGTGAAAGGTGTAGATTCTCTTTCATGGATGGGCAACAATACTAGCAAACTCTTCCCTTTGGAAAGTGACTTACCTCAGTGTTGGACCTTTTTTAGCACTGCAGCCTATGGAAAACGAAATAAAGTTCCACAGGTTGCTAAAAGTTTATTCTTTTGCACCATATATTTTTGGTTAATGCAATCAAGTATTACACATGACAGCATGTTATATCCCTGGTGGATCAGTTGCCTCATATTTCTTGCTGTTATTCATATTTTACAGATACTAGTTGGTGTTGATAGGGTACTTAAACGAAATTTACATGAACATACAGGAAAACATCCCTAGTGCCACAGCAGAAAAGGTAAAGGATGATATACTTGAGGGTGTAGAGTCTGCTCTTGGATTATCCAAAGGATCACTACAGAAACCATTTTATGCCAGGGTCCAATTATGGTATGCATTGTCTTTCCAAATAATAAACATTCAGAAAAAATTTATGTGAATTGGCTTGTGAGTGTATACTTATGCTCTTTTATTATCCTAGGGGTGCAGCTCTTCCAACAAATTCTCCTGAGATTCCTTGTATCTTCGACCCTAATGGGCGTGCAGGAATTTGTGGTGACTGGTTACTTGGGTCGAGTGTAGAAGCTGCAGCTTTAAGCGGAATGTCTCTTGCCCATCATGTGAGTACCCTCTTAACTTCTTGTTTTCTAGTTCAAGTTCAAGTTTACTTATGACAACATTTTCATTGTTGGTCATTAGACTGCACTACACATCGGTTTATGGTGCACTGTAGAACCTTTGATGAGCATGTACTGATCAGATCCAGTATAGCCTGAACCACAAAGATCCATATTAAATAACTTTGCAGGCCTTAAGCTTTTTTATCCAGTCCTCTTACAAACTTGAACCTGCATAGTTCACCAATATGTTCTGAACCATTCCAGCCGCATCCGAGAGGTTGCTGCAATATAGATATCAACTGTAACTAGCTTGAACGAAACTGTATGCCCACAAATGAGCCATATGTTAACTGTCACAGATGCCCTTGAATGATGTACAAACTAATAACCTGGATAAACTGAATGCTGATTAATAAATATTGCCTTTTCTTGTGTGCTTATGAAAAACCTACCAAGGATTTATGTAAAACTTCCTGTGGAAGGTGGTGACAACTGTGGTTGGAAGAAGCCTGTGGGAGCTGATAATCAGAGAGGCGTTGAAACAAAGATTCAAATACCAGTCAGATCGATATAATACCAAATAATATTGATCTATTTGACTAAAGACATGTACCGGACTTCAGTATTTTAGTATTCTATTTTTCTTGTGGTATGGATGGTACTGGTCTGTCTACTGTCAGGTATACCAATTTATATCAGTTCAACTGGTTGCCAAAACTGGTATTATACTAACAATTAATCCTTGCTTCAAAGTATCATATAAAATATAAATTGAAGTACATACTAGGACAGGTTATAAGTCAAGCAAAGTATCTTAGTTGTGTACAGAGGTGTCAATGAAATGAATCAAATGTAATTGGCATGATGGCTTTTGAACTAATAGGACATTTTGAAATACTTCCCAAACAATTAACATAGGTATATGTATATATATAGACTAATTTTAGACCAAGAGTTATAGAGTTATCCATTTTTTGGGAATTGAGAATGTGGGATGTGTTTGTCCAGGTTATGGTAGTATGATAGCTAACAATCGTATCAAAAGGAGAAAAGATCTCTTTGCAAACAATATAACTCATGAGTCACCATCGGATGTCTTTGGCATTTGCTTTCTTTTTTTCAACGTCTAATCTTACATGAAAATTTCTTAAAGTTGCATTAACTAAATGTTTTTGGATTGTGCAAAAAAAAAAAAATCTAAAGCACCTTAACAGAAGAATAGGCTTGAGAAAATGGGGGATTTTCTCTAGGAATTGAACATAGTAACCTCGTTCATATAATCAATAGGAGAATAATAACATGGTTAAAACATTTTCTTCTAATTACTCTTTTGAACCATTGCTAATACCTGGTAGTCTATATCCATTCTTCATAAGATTATGCATGGAGTTGACCAAAGTAAACATCAAGGTTCGGCGTATTGAGGTGTACTATCTGATATGGGTAGTATGTACCAGTCCGATAGGGGACTGGTACGAGTGATACATATCAGTTTGTCGATATGTCTCATTGTATCGTATTGTCATGGACTTAGTTGGTTTTGCCTAAGTCGTGCAACACCCTTGTGTGTTCGTTTGTAAAGGGTCAGCCTCATCGAAACCTCTTATGATCCCTTAAGGACTTACAAAAGAGAAGATGAGTTAGAGGAACTGTTTAACTCGGGATCCTTGAGGAATTGTTTGCCTAAGTTGTGCAGCATCTTTGCTTGTCCGTCTACAAAAGGTCAACCTCCTCGAAACCTTTTATGATCTCTTGAGGACTTGCAAAAGAGAAGACGGGTTAGAGGAAGTGTTTAACTCGGTATCCCACAAGCAGATATTTTAGTAAATACTTAATAGGCAATACAAATTACAAACATAGACTTCGCAAGCTTTGAATAGTCGCACAATAAATGGTCTAAGGTAGTCCGTCGCGGCTAAAAGTTCCCACAATTGCCCACATGACACTCTTGTGGAACAAGGCAACAAACAACCCTAGACACTATTCCGAAGGCCCATTCAGCCATGTGCCACCTGGATAGCTTCTAGGTGCTATGCTGGCTGACACTTCGCATCACTCTGCGGAATTAGGAAACTCCCGAAAATGGCTATCTAGATGGCTTATTTTTGGGTAGTTTTGTCTCTGCACTATGACTGTACAATGTACACAACTTGCGTTTACAAGACTAAAATGGTCACAAGAGCTAACCAAAATGGGGCTGCCAAGCCTACTACAAGCTCTCTATATGTTGAGCAAAATATGAACAAAATTGAAAGACATGGACATACACAAACATTATATCGAACACCTTGTTTACAGATTTGTCCATAACAATGTCGGTACATCGGTATGGTTTGGTGCATACTGTATCGCCAATTGGTTGGTACACCGATATAGACCGGTAAGATGAACTATGGTAACCACATCGGTTATAGTCCTTTGAATTATGATGAAAAAATAATGAAAATTAATCGCTATATTCGTTACTAAGGTGTTTATGGTTTATTAATGTGTTCATGGTACAGTTAGTAAAATTCAGATAAACTCTTTCATAAGCATTTGAATCGAAAAGGAAGGAGAAAATAATGTCTGCATAAGATGTTGATCCACTGATGGCTAGATTTTGAGTAGTTAGATACAGTTTATGTATGATTCCTGGAGAACTGTAGTCGCACATTTACTTTAAGGAGTTATATTTGTTCTTTTCTTGGACTAATTGAAGTTCAACTTTGGAATGTTAGATCAATTCTTTAATTAAATTGTTTCTCCTTAAACGTATAACAATGGTAGTCATGTTACTAAAGAAAAAGAATTTATGCCTTGTTCTTCGTGATCTCCCCTTGATCCATGGTCTATACTCCCGAATAACCTTATCACATGCTAAATTAGTGTTACTTTGTCTTCTAGTCACAAGCCTTCCAGGAACATGTTTCCTTGGCTACATTTCAAAATTTTGTTATCCCATTTCCTCTTCTTCCTTTTTTTTCTTGTTATATTCATTCCCATCGATTTTTTCTGTTCTTCCCCAAGTTTTATTGCTATGTCAAATCCTCCTATGGCCCTATCCTTTTCAGTTTCTACCAAGATGATAGATAACTGTTAGAACCTTCAATTGATCACTGATTTCTACACCAAACATTTCACCATCTATCTGAATATTTTATACATTTTCTTGGTCACCTAAACTCTTTATCATGTCTTGCTTTATCAGGAAAAGAAAAATTCCAGTTCCTTCACTCAGTTACAAAGTTGATGTTAGACTTTTGCTTTATTTTATCGATTTGTTATACGCAGTCATCTACCATTAAAATTTTACATTGCAGCTGATGATAATGGGTCTACTCTAAATTTTATGGATCTTTTATGATAAAAAAAATTAGTTGTTCAAATCTTGTCTTGCATCACAGACATTTTCTTTGTAATGCAGATGGCTGATTATTTCCAAAGTGGAGGGACACAACCAGATGAATTTGCCATAGGATTGAACAATCCATTTCATGCAATTGCTGGTCATGATATTGGTCAGTTTCCTGGTTTAAAATCTGGAGAACAGGTTGAACCAGAGGCATGTCCAGCCCTGTAGATATAGATATATCAGCCTTACAGATGCTTGCAAATTAAAGGAGCTGATATCCGATCTGGATCATGAAGAGAAAATAGACTTTGTCCCAAAGAACCTCTGATATATAAATTCAAAGAACACCAGCCTGAGTATTTTTACCCATTTGGTAGTACAGGGTGACCTTCCTGGCCATCAATTTTTGGCTTCAAAATAGTTTGTGCTGGGAATGGTACTCGTCTACATTCAGCAATTAAGATTGTCCATTATCTTGTAGATGTTATCTTCATGATATTGTAAAATGTCTCTGAATTCAAATATACGGTAATCGCATTATTTTGTATTTTTCATGGGCAATGTTTTTGCAAAAAGAAGTGCCATTATACTTCTGGCACCATCTCATCCTTTCGCATTTTATCTTCAACAATATAAAGACCTTGACTATTGATTCTTGAAAGTGTTTCTTAGATATAAAAAGATTCATATTAAATATAATAAATATAATGTATCTATCGAAACTATATAAACTTTATGTATTGGGTCATGAAGCATATAAAGTTTTTAAATAAAATATAAAATATTTTATCTTAATCCTATTCTTCTTATCCTTACTTTTTGTGTGATAGCTTTTATCTCTTTTCCTAATCTAATTTTCCCTATCTAATTCAACAATCCTCATCTGCAAGATGGATCGTCTTATTGGACTGTGCAGTTTGGGTTGGGTGCAGTGGCCAGATTTATTACTAGAGAAGGACTATACAGAGTCTTCAAGCAGAACAAGCCAAACTCCGACGGGTATCGACCTCGCCGGCATCGACGCCCACGGCCACGAGCACCCACCGAGGTCAAGGATGGTATTCTTGAGCCATGAAATTTTTGTTGCATCCTACGAACCCTTCAACCTATGTTTATTGTTTATTGGTTTCCTTCCTCTTCTAACATAACATATTATTTATTCGAAGAACAACAATCCCACAACAACTAGACGGGTGACACTGATGCGAAAGACGATGACAACATCAATGTTGGTGAACAAATGTGTCGTGGTTGGTGAGTCAGCATGGACGGTCTAATCCACGGGTCAATGTCAGGAGTCTTCTGTCGGTTGAGTTGGATGCCAAGGTCGATCGGGTTCTCGCGATAGGGTATTGATCAGCGTTCCTTATGTACCGATCCAAGCGCCGTGTATGCCGAGCTACGTCTCTCCTTCTCCGGGGTGGCTGGCAGCTCACCTTTGTGAGGTAGCCGGGTTTTCCTGCAAAAATGGCCCTCGTCGGGATCACCCGACGAGGCCCCTCCGACGAGCAAGTTAGTGGAGTGATCCATTGATCTTCCCCCCTCCCCCCCCCTCTGCCAGATGCTGGCTAGAGGTCTTTATAGTACTGCACGTGGGTCGATCGTACGCGAGTTGACGTGATAGACATGCCAAACAGTGTCTTGGTACGGATTCTGACTTGGCGTGTTTCGCGAGTGGCTCTGCCTCAAGATTCTCGAGATATGATGTGTTGAACAGTGTCTTAATATAGATTCTGACTATGACCGATGACGTCGGACTCTGCCGTGTCTTGGACCAAAATATACCGTATCAAACAACAACCACAACGATAACATCCGTTGCTACTGACTTATTCGAGTATCCAGATAGCAACAGCGTCGAGACATGATCATCTCTAATCAGCCCGCAAGTAGACCCCAAGTGCAGTAATTGCACCTTTGGTTGCATCAGCACGTCCATGGAAGCCGCTCACCTTACCCTTCTCGAGAGAAAGGGAGAAAGGAGTACCACTGTCCTTGCCGAAATCCTTCGAATCGCCGTCATCTTTGTCAACCGTAAGTTTTCTTATCACGACGACTCCGTTCATTTCCTCAAAACGTCCCGATAAAGATTTGATGTATTCGCCTTTCTCAAAACTAATCTGAAAGGAGACCAAACATTTCATTAGAATACGACTCAAAATATATGTGAACGTGATCTCATTAATTGGAAATGATCGTACAACATAAGTCTAATCAATACGTATGCCTACATACTCTCTCAGATTTAAGTCCCGTCACTCCGTAGCTGTTGGTTTCAATCTCTCCATCAAAGTTCGTATGTTACGTCCATCCTAGTGATATTTTTAAATCTCCGAAATGAATGGTCATATCGAGAGATTTTTGCTTGACAATCGTTGTTAGTTTTGATCCAAATTTTATGTAGAGAATCCTTGTAGCAAACTCTATAATCCTAACAGTGTTGATCTATAGTTTACCCTCTCTTGATGTTATTGTGATCATCTGATTATTTTAGAGAAGACTTATTGTAAACTTGTTATCATTAC